GCTACCACCCCCTTGCAAGGCCCACATGCCCCATCCCAGCCCCCCCATTGCTGCCCCACCTGGCCTCATCCCCCACCAGATGCTGCAGCCCCCCCAATGGCTGCCCCACCCAGTCTTACCCCCCCAGCTTGCACCCCCAGGCCCCCATGACTATCCCAACAACCCCAGGCACCATCACTTAAAAAACCCCCCCCAAAAAATGGGGAAAAAAAGCCTCTGCTTACCTTAGAAGCAGGGGTGGAGGGGTTCCAGGGTCTCCTGGCAGAGGCCCCTGGGCAGCACAGGACAGCAGTGGGGCAGGAGGGCTCAGGCTGGCGCTGGTGGGGCTGTCACCCTGCCCTGCACTGTGTGGGTGGGGCTCCAGTCAGCAGCTCAACTGCCAGTAAGTGCCGGGGAGGGGTTTGTTTTTCTAAGTATATGATTGCATATTATTTACCTGAGACTGGCTCCAGGGTACAGTTTAGGCAGGGAACAGTCAATGGAATTAGTATCGGTCATCCCTTTCTTCAAGCTCCCAGTAGAATCTTTATCAAAACCTTTGCAGTTAGGCTATTGGGTGATGTTGAGGAGCCATTAAGGGATAGATTTTCATAAAAGCTAAACCAAGCCTTCCATTTTGAATGGAGAATTTTAATTCACACTTTTTTTTTTAAAGTGTGAGGAAAATGGACAAAATTACTGGCTGTTTTTTAACATGAGCCTTGAGATTTTTTCATACTAACCCAATGAATGAATGTTCACACACAAATTACAGATTTTTAAAAAAAAATTTAGATTTACATTTTGAGTTGACGAAATACTTCAATTGCAATTGTGTCTTCAGTAAGATTTAAGAATACATCACCATTTTTCTTGTAAATGATTACAGATGAAAAATTGACATTCAGTTGTACATTATTAGATCAATATGTTATCTGGTGAAATTAGTCTATAGTAGGTGTGGGCAAAACAATGGATTTGGCTGCTGGCCAGACTCCATTTCCCAGCAGCCCCTGCCCACATTGCTGAACTTTTGTTGGAAATAGCCTGTGAAATCCTGGCTTACTACAGACTACCAGTAATTTCACTATAGACCAGGGGCAGGCAAAGTCCGGCCCATGGGCCAAATTAAGTTTGCAATGGACTCCATTTCCCAGCAGCCCATGCCTACATCACTGCAGATGGTTTTCATGGAGACCCCAAGAGGGGCAAGGCCGTGACAACGCAGGGCTGGGACTTCCATGGTGATTGGCCCAAGCAGCACTGGCAGGGAGCTGCTCTGGGGCTGGGGTGGGGATTTTGT